GCTCCAATCTCAAGAGCCTGGCAACATGGGCTCCACTGAGAAGCTGAAACAACCAGGCCAGAGGAACCTTCTCAAATACGGAGAACTAGACCTGTTCCAGCCCAATGCACAGGAATCCCTTGGGGGAAAGACAACAAATTCTGCTGTGTTTTAACAACTCCCTCTCTCTGGGAAGAATCAATGTTTCTTCTTCTCCTTGTTCTTCTTCAAACCGTTAGTAAATAATTAAAAGAGAGAGACAAAATACTCTCTAAAGATAACCTAGTCCTTTGTTTCCATGGTAACTGCTTTCCTAAGCCAGAAGCCTTTTGTATGAGTTGTATAGCAGAGGGCGCAAACCATTTGATGAGGTGGAGGGGGATGAGCATGGCCACGCCAATGCACCCAGTAGGAGAGGTGGGGGAGACTGTGAGAGTCAGCAGAGAAGGGGAGAATTGTCTGGGAATCTGAACTTCTGGAAAAACAAGGGAACTTTTTCCTTCTGAGTTGTTTCCAAGTGGGAATGGGGACAAGCTGACAACGCATCAGTTCTTGGGGGCTGTTCTCACCATCCCACTGAAGACTAAGTGGCAGGGGCCCCATCGTCACAGACATGACCACTATCTGGCAAATAACTAGAGGCCAAAAGATACATGGGGGCCCAAGGAAAGCTTGGGGATGGTGCATAGGGAGCTGGTGACATGACACCATTTGGGCCTTGGTGAAGTTTGTGCTTTTTTCCCCCAGAACTTGACCTTAGCTATAGGACAAACTCACAGAGATGTCTGTCATTTCCAGTCTCCTGGTAGTTCCTAAACAGGCTCATCGGGAGGAATTGAACATCTCAGAATATGCTTGTCTAAGCAAGTCAGTGGACATCAGAAGCAGAGGAAGGAATGGTAGGAGTTCCTGGGGAACAGCTGTTCTCCCCACTTCCCTTTATAAATCCAATCTCATCTACCTAGTGTCCACTCATGGGTTCTTACGCTAACTAAGTTTGTGAGGTATCCAAATATTTCTCTGAGGTGAATCAGTGAGACTGCAAGTCATACCCCACTATCTGCCACCCATCAGGCATGCTAGACTGTGTGCAAATGTATCAGAGGGGCAGCCATCAATGTCTGTATCTGCAAAAACAATGAGTCCTGTGGCACCTTAAAGACTAAGGGTACCTCTGCACAGCAGCATTAAATAACAAAGAGCGTGTCTATGCTGCAAGCCTTTATTTTGAAATAATGGTGAGCTGGAGGACTTCTTACTCTGACTCCTGTAACCCTCAATTCACAAGGGCTGCGTCTAGATTGGCATGATTTTCCGGAAAAGCTTTTAACGGAAAAGTTTTCCGTTAAAAGCATTTTCGGAACAGAGCATCTAGATTGGCATGGACGCTTTTCCGCAAAAGCACTTTGTGCGGAAAAGCGTCCGTGCCAATCTAGACGCGCTTTTCCGCAAAAAAGCCCCGATCGCCATTTTCACGATCGGGGCTTTTTTGCGGAAAACAAATCTGAGCTGTCTACACTGGCCCTTTTGCGCAAAAACTTTGCGCAAAAGGACTTTTGCCTGAACAGGAGCAGCATAGTATTTCTGCAAGAAGCACTGATTTCAGACAGTAGGAAGTCAATGCTTTTGCGGAAATTCAAGCAGCCAGTGTAGACAGGTGGCAAGAGACTTTAGCCCGCAGCGTAGACTTGCCCTAACAGATTTATTTGGGTATAAACTTTCATGTGTAAAAGAGGCACTGACAAAGTGGGCTTTTGCCCATGAAAGCTTATGCCCAGATAAATCTGTTAAGTCTTTACGCTGCCACAAAACTCCTCATTGTTTGTGTGCAAATGGAGTACAGTACTCCAAAAGGTCCCAGCTCAGTTGTGAAACCTATACCTTCTGATATAAAATGGTGGCCTAGAAGTAGAGGCAGGTGTGTGCATACAAACATATAAATGCAGGAATAGATTCTTTCATTAGCTAATTCTGTAGCAAATACAAGGTGTGTCTACACAGCACCCTAAGCTTGAAATAAGATATGCAATTTGCGCTATGCAAATTACGTATCTTATTTCTAATTTATTTCAAAATAGCTTATTTTTAAATTTGGCACATCTACACAGCTCTCATGGGATAGTGGGGAGCTAGGAAGCTGGGACTGGTTTTAAAATACACAGCTCTCTGCTTCACTATAATCAATAGGTGTGTCTACACAGCACCCTAAGCTTGAAATAAGATATGCAATTTGCGCTATGCAAATTACGTATCTTATTTCTAATTTATTTCAAAATAGCTTATTTTTAAATTTGGCACATCTACACAGCTCTCATGGGATAGTGGGGAGCTAGGAAGCTGGGACTGGTTTTAAAATACACAGCTCTCTGCTTCACTATAATCAATATTACCTACCATTTTAACAGGTGGTAAGGCCAGTCTAGGGTCCTTCTACCACCTCTGAATGGGGGATAGCACTGGTCCATGAAACGAGCCCCACACCACAAAATTGGCCTGGGGAGGACACTGCATAGCCGAGTTTTACCTGGAACATGATTCGTCTTCCATCCACGTTGATAAAGAGATACTAACATGGCAATCAGAAAACCTATTTCAAAAGTGACCGTGTATTGGAGTAAATTTTGGCTCTACCACCATCCTAGGTTCCTTTCCCACTCTTAGGTTAGACATGATACCAATCCCTCCAGCCACTCTTGGGGTAGCTCACATTTCCAGCGCTTTGTCCCGTTCATCTCAAAGGCCCCAATTGAAATAAGTGGAGACACACAGCACGTATTGTGCAAAGCACAGTCTCCAATGTTGAAGTACGCCTGGATTTAACCATGGACCTCGTGTAGCCAATTTTAGTCTTCTGTCTACTATGAATTGGCCATTTTCCTTCCCAGGCAATACAGAGCCACAGTGGTTCTCTTTCCTCAAATGTGCAGGGAGAACCCACCCAAGGAACAACCAGTGCAAAAGCCATTTTAAACCCTTATTATTGCTTTAATTAATCCAGACCAGCAGCCTTCCTGCCAAGATGGGGACTTTGGCTTTCCTGTCTTCCCCGGCATGCCTACAGTCAGAGCAGTGCACTTTCCACAAAACACAGATTACTCTGAACAAATAAAATCAAATACAGAAGTTAATTATCCTTTTTTTTTTGTTCCCCTTGACACACGTGGTGTTCACAGCCCCAGTTTATAGTGTTAAGCATCTGCTCAAAAAACAGATGAGCAAATCTGTATAGTACCAGGTTGCACAGGGCTTCCGATTCCAGCGGGAAAGGTGCCTCCAAGAGGAGTTTGCTGAACTAGCCCTCTTGCCTCCAAGAGAAACAATGTCTAGACAGGAATCCCTGTGGGAGATTCATTCTTTCCTGTCAATATGATGAAGCAATGTCCTCTGAACCTCCCTCTCTCTTCCCCTGCTGCTTCTCCCCTCTTTGCCCCATCCTTTTTCTCATGCTCTCAGAAATACCCATGTCAGAGCCCAGTGAGGCTGTGGATTGTATTCCACTTTTTTTCAAGCACTTCAGGTCATTTCTTTGTCCTCTCTCCTATCCCACCATAAATCTGGAAAGGATACAAAACAGATGAGTTCTTAAAACAATTCTCACACGTAGAGAGGGCGATGGTGAAGCAAATCTTGGCCTGAAACAGCAATACAGTCTCGGGGGGGAGGGGAGGGAACTTGCTGCAATAGTTATGGAAGAGACTCAGATACTCCTGTGTTCAGCTTGATCCTGAAGGAGGGGTGGGAATCTGTCCTCACACCACACAATCAGCGGACACCAATCAGCAGCCAGGCATGTACCTCTCTCACAATGAGTGCACATTCCTTTGTAAAGCACAAACAAGGTAAGAAACATACACACAACTGCCTGGAGGGAGTCAAACAGATATGATATTGCCCACACATGCATGCACGCACACACAAATTCTGCCCTCAGAGCCTGATCTTGTGAAGTCCTCCATGCCCCTCAACTGTCATTGGGGTGGATTCTGATCATGCTTAAATCAAGGATAACTTCTGCTGATGTCAACAGAGTCACATCAGCGTGAGAGCAGAATGAGGCCCATTGACTTCAGTGGCATCACATCAGTGGAACTAGGAAGAGAGTTTGGTTCACAAACCCCAGCTTTGTGCCTGGGGACGGAGTGCACTTAATATCTGACTGAGGCTCATTTTATTTTGCCTGTTTTTTTAATTCTAATTTCTTTTTCTTGTAATGTATACATGGATATAGATATATAAAAAATAACAGATCTGATTCTCTAGATAGTTTTTGCGCCTTTGGGCTTCTAAAATAAAAACTGTCACAATTACAGAAACCTGGAGTGGAGGGGACAAACCCTGAACATCTTTTCTTCTCTTAGCAGCTTTCTTTTTCTTTCTTTCTTTCTTTTGTGGGGGGGGGGGGGGGGGGTAAATAAAAAAGAAAAATAAATACATAAATAAAATGAAACAGTATTAAATAAACACAGTCAATAGTTGCCATGTTGCCTCCATCTCCTCCCCTCCCAGAGCATTCCACACACTCATCAAAGCAATCTCAGATCACTTCCAATGCATCACCTCATTGGGTTTTCCTGATTTCTGGGCCAGATCTTCAGCTGGTGTCAACTTTCATGTCTCCATTGAAACCAAATCTATATTGATTTACTCTAGCTGAGGACCTCCAGGGAACCCTGCTGACTTACATTGGCTGAGAAGTTGGCCTGTGATCATTAATTTTCAAAATGGAAGTATGAATGATGAGGAATTCTCAAAAAACAACCAAACCAACCAAGCCCTCCTTGGTTTCTCTTCTCCTTTCCCCCTCCCTGTGTGAAATGTATTGAAACCAAATCTATATTGATTTACTCTAGCTGAGGACCTCCAGGGAACCCTGCTGACTTACATTGGCTGAGAAGTTGGCCTGTGATCATTAATTTTCAAAATGGAAGTATGAATGATGAGGAATTCTCAAAAAACAACCAAACCAACCAAGCCCTCCTTGGTTTCTCTTCTCCTTTCCCCCTCCCTGTGTGAAATGTATTCCTGCTTAGCACTTTCTGGAAGTCTTAATCGCTCAGTAAAAAAAATAAATAAATCAATCTCTTTCTCTATGTATATGTATATAACTAAATGGCTGCCACCCGGGCAGGTATTTGGCTGGTGGGCCCAGTCCCTCCAAGCCCAGTGGTGCCCTCTTCATCACTGTGATCTTTGTGGTGGTGATCCCCGTCCAACACGTGGGCGGGAGTGGTGCCGTATTGCTTTCACTCTCTCATACCTCAGCGGTACAGTACCAGAGTATTTCCTAAATATATATGTATATATTTATATATTGTGTTTGCTTGTTTCTTTCCCCCACCATCCTTTGGAATTGCTGCTGGGAAATGGTAGCACAAGGCGTGCCCTTGCCCACACTGCTTGCTCCCCTCCCTACCCCAGGGACCCTCATCTGTTCCTCTTGCTGACGCTATTGCCCAGCTCCAGCTCAGAAGGGAGTGGGGAGCTATGGTCTGCCGTCCCCAGTTTATCGGGGCTGTCCGACCCCTCGTCATCACCCGGCGAGGGGGTGTCCTTGCAGAAGTCCGTCACCCACGAGGGCATGGACAAGAACCCCCGGGGATCAACCGAGTAGAACTGCTTGGCGTCGTTGGTGGTGGGCCCTCGGGAGGAGGCATTGAGGCTGCTTGTGCTGTTGCATTTCTTCGTGAGCGCCCGGCCTGGGGGTGGTGGGGGTGGGGAGAAGAGAGAGGTCAGTGAGAGGCTGCTGAGGGTCTCTGACTGCTCGCTGTTGTTACCACCCCTCAGTCTCCTCCCCGCACCCTCCTCATCAGAAGGGTCCATGGAGTCATGGTGAGTGCACCCTGGGCTCGTGCTCCCGCCACTGCTGTGACTTCGCTGATGCCGCCTGATGTTCTGCAGGCTGAAGATCCCGCGGCCCCGCAGGTTCCGCCTCCGGGATGCAGGAGAAAGCGGGGCTGCCATGGTTCTTTGGGTGGCAGTTGTTGGCATCGGGCACAGGGCCACCGGGAGGTCCAGCGTGCACTGGGGAGAGTCGCTGAGGTTCAAGCTGTCCTCCAGAGTGGTCTGCAAGCTGCCTTCTGAGCTACTGCTCCTGCTGTCATCGAGGGAGGTGTCACTTTCAGTGGCCTGAGAGAACAATATGCCACAGAGGAAAAGCTTTTAATTTCAGTTCCTTGCCTCTGGGACAACTGGGGTGAGATGGAAATGTGGCACTAGCTACTGACTATCTACTTGAAGGGCCCCTATAAAGCAGTTCAGTTAGATGGCCTGAACATTTCTCACCCTGTATTCATGCCTTGTTGCTATGTGACCACCTGTTCCATTGTCACCAGGAGGCAGTATGGTCACAACTGGAACAGGGCAGAGAACGGGAATTCTACCTCATGACTTGCTATTGTGCAATTTGGTTTCACTCTGATGTGAAAGGAAAACCAAACATTCTGAAATTCTTGGCCACAGACAATGGCACCTGGCTCTGGAGCAGTCCATCTGAAAGGCAGTCACAGAGGCAAATGCCCTGCAAGCCCACACTGGTGAGGAGCAGGACTCACAGCTCCCTGTCAGCCTGCCCTGCGGAGGAGCCAGTAGGCGTGCTGACTGGAAACAAGGCAGAGATCGGTCAGAACTGCATCAGAATCAGCCATCTCCACAGAGCATTTTGCTTTTGACGAACTGGAAAGTTCTGATTTAAAAAAATTCTGGTTTGGAACTGTTCTGACCTGCTTTAGTTACAAAGCACCTCATGTGGCGGCAGGGAAGGGCCCAAAGAGAGGGGAAAACAGCTGTTTTGTTGGTCTTCTTTGTTATTTCACATTTTAGTTGTTTATAATAAAAGGGTCTGGAGACCTTGGGATTTATCATAATAGGTAAAATAGAAGGTGTCTGATTTTCTCTTTCTCTCGAATGGGCCAACCCTTCCTCAACTTCACTCTCCTGCAGCCTGGAACATGAGTGATTCAGGAGACACCTTAGCATAAGCATGGTAGAGGAGTCCTCTTGTGCTTCTCCTTTCTATCACCTGTGCTTCTCAAATACATTTTATTTCCCCTCCTCTACTCTGTTCTCCCCAGTCTCCTAAGTGACAAATCACAGTATCTACCTGAGAGATAGGGAACAGAAGGGATATGAATACAGAGATCAGGGACACAGAGTCCATCTGGATGGGCTCCAGACAAAACAAGCCCCATGTGTGTGGGAATGAAGCAAGGTCCGTTCCAGTTCTATTTGGACTTCATTGCCCCTGTTGCTTGGGCCCTGTGAACACATTTGACTTCCTACTCCACCTTCTTTAACTCCTGGTGAGACTATGTTTACATGTGTTGAACCCAAGGGCTAATGAGCTCCCTGCCACTAGACCAAGTCCTTAAGCTAAAAGTGTTCTGCTCGCATTAGCAGGATCAGCATCAAACCTAGAAACAGGGGTGTCTGGTTCTATTTCTTTGTTCCTGCCATCCAAGTAGCAAGAGCAAGGGAGGCCAGGCCCAGGAGCCAGTGTGAACTCATGTATACTTGGATCTAGACTGAGGCTGTCAACTTAATGTGTGACCCAAACCAGGCCAAGACATGTTTTCTGGAGATGCAGGGCCAGTGCCTTTACCTATTGTGCCATCCAGCTCCTTCTACACTAGCACTCACTGTGAATAACTCTTCACCCTACTGCACTTTCTGCTCCCAATAGCCATCTAACCCTTTGATCCTCCAGAGATAGGTCACTCTATGCCCTTCTTCTCTCTCTCATGCCCTCTTTGCTTGGATACACATGAGGTCTCCTGGGAGGGTGGGAAGTAGGGCCCTTACCTGGTGAAGAAGTGAGCAGTTCACACTTGGGGATCGCAGTGATGCCCATGAACCCTGCAGAGATATTTTAGGAAGGCTGCCTGAACAGGACACCTTCTCCTGCCCAGTCTGGGTGGCAGAGATGCTTGGGTGGAAAAACTCTGCTGGCACAGGTAACAGAGGCCTGGCTGTACCTGGAGAGAAGGGTCTGGGGGGAACTGACAGTGGCAGAAAGAAGGCGGAATGAAAAAAGAAAAATAAGAGTTCAAGAGTCCATTGATCCATTTTGGGGACTCAGTTTCTACCAAGCTCAGGGTCATGTAAGCCCAACAAACTGCAGGTGTTTAGTGACACATTCACCTAGACATGAATTCTGAGCATTGGGAGGTCATGCTCCACTGATCCTGCTTTCCACATAATTACCAGAATGAATAACAGACTCAGAAGCACTATCAGAGCTCGGGGCAATAGTTGAACAAGGAAAAGGGGCACAAGGCTGAGACATGATAGGCCAAATGTAACCCAGGTTCAACTCCACTGAACTCAATGGGCCCATAGCCAGGCTCCTACAGAGTAGTAGAAAAGGGAAATACACAAAAAAAGTGACTGGGGAGCACAGTGACCCAATACAGCCAGAGACGTGCTCAGGAGGGAAATTAGGATTCTTTTTTCTAGGGCAGATGAAGGTACTCCACAGACCCTTGTGATAAGTAGCATGGCCTCAGGAAATGGTGGCACTGTCTACTCTATGGAGTTAGCACAGTTCCTCCACCCGACTGCTGACATGACATTGGCTTTGAAGCCTTTGGGCCTTATTGTCATTTGCGTTCTGCTCCAGCTGCCCAAAGGGACCTTAGTGTTAAAGAGAATCAGATACTCTGAAATCTGTCTGTCTAGGGCAACTCTGAGGAAAGACAATAGACACTATAAAAGGTGCCGGGGAAACCAAGCAAACACCACATCAGTGCTTAATCTGTGCCAGAGCTTACCAGAACTGAACTCTGGCACCTCTAGGTTTTGCAGTTCGTAGCCCCAGCACCTTGGGGCCAGCCCCAGCAGTTATGAATGTACAAAAAAAAAAATTGCTTGAGCCCCAGCACCTCCTTCCTTGCCAATGAAGCTCTGCACTGCAGTGAGACTGGCGAACTGAGAGTGAATTCCCACATCATATCAACACCATTCCTTTCTAGAATAAAGTGGAGCCAGGCCAGATTACCCGGACTGGTCTGCACTGTCAGCAGAACTAGCCTCAAATGACTGCACGACCCAGGAAAATGAAGAGGACTTCCCTACCTTGATTACTTTCATGTTTCAGCCAGCATTGGACTGGGTTGAAAGGGATTTTCTCCATTTCACACAAGTAACTTTCTGGAGTTGGAGAAGCGCCTGTATTTGTTAATGGGAAGAAACATTCCCCCAGATCTCCCACGCCCATGGAGTCAGGGCTGTTCGGGCCATCCTGTTGAAAAAAATGAAAGAAATATCTTTTGAGGAAAAAAACACACAGAGAGATAGTGAAACTGACTGAGCAAGGTCTGGAGATGGGGTGGATTTTGAAGATACCTGGCCAGTGCACGTGCATGTTAACCAACAGATAGTCCAAGGATTTACATTCCCTGCCCATCCCCAAATATATTCCTAGTCAAAGCAAGCTCTGATAGTGGTAAAAGGAGCTGTAGTTTGCACACCCTTCTGTGTTTTCATCAGATCAGTCTGAGTGATAAGTCTCTAGGGGAGGAGTTGCTGCTAAGTGCCTGACACTTACATTCTTTGTGAGAGTGAAGTGTGATCAGCAGGGGAATCCATGGACCATGGCAGTCCAGCTGATCTGGGTCAGAGGTACAGAGTGCGGCACATTAAGAGGAACATGAATCTGATAAGCTGGTGCTAACGGCCAATGGACATTGTGGTCCTGTTCCAAGAGGCAGACCTCTCCACTCTTCCCTGGTTTGTGCTGTGCGCACACAAGTTCTGTGACAGACCCTGTCTCACACAGCATGGAGAAGTGAAGACAGGAGATGTTCACCCCTTATAAGTGGGAAAAGCCAGACCTCCATGCGACTCACTCCCATGCCCTGAGTGAGGAGTGGGTGGCTCTTTCAAGGGATGATGTGTCCTTGAGGACATAGGCGGCTGCATACTTTGCCCACTGTGTAAGTATATATCCCAAACACCGAGGATGCTCCTACCTTGGTCTCCTTAGGACTCAACTGACAGATGCTGCGATTGTCTAAATCATCCCCAAGCAGGATGGAGGAAGACTTGTCTGAGTTGAGGGATAAGGCTTCCATTTCAGCCAGCTGAACCTACCAGAGGGAAAGAAGTTGTCACAGGATATGGGCTGAGTCTGTTTCTCAACCAGTTCTTCTCTTTTAAGGGTGGATGGGTGGAGGGAGAGAGCCTGTACACCTGAGATTGACTTTAAAACATTCCTTTGTTTATACTGATTGTTTCCTAACCCACAGCTAGGCCTGGTGAGAGAATCCACTTCTAGTAAACCATGGAAATGAAGTTTGGGAGCTGCCAGGGAGATGGGTTCACTGATCAAGACTCCCTTGGCATCCAAGAAGGAGAGAGGAGTCCAGAGAATCTGCTCCAAGATCAGAGTCTGGCATCCGGCTCCTCAATCATATGGCTCACAGAGTCAGTGCCAGAGGACTTCCTCCACTGGGGATAATAGTCTGCTCCAAAGACAGAGAGGAGAGGAAAAGTCCCTAGGTTTTGTCCACACCAACAATTAGTTCGTGGCAAGCTGAGGTGTGACTCTACCCTGCACTAACCTTTGGCAGAGGGACTGTCCTTGTGGGCCTGCTGCTGTTCATTAACAGCTCTGTAATTTGCTCTGCTTTAGTCATAAAAAAACATAACATAAGAACGGCCGTACTGGGTCAGACCAAAGGTCCATCTAGCCCAGTATCCTGTCTGCTGACAGTGGCCAGCACCAGGTGCCCCAGAGGGGGTGGACTGAAGACAATGATCAAGCGATTTGTCTCCTGCCATCTCTCTCCAGCCTCTGACAAACAGAGGCCAGGGACACCATTTTATCCCCTGGCTAATAGCCTTTTATGGACCTAACCTCCATGAAATTATCTAGCTTCTCTTTAAACTCTGTTATAGTCCTAGCCTTCACAGCCTCCTCTGGCAAGGAGTTCCACAAGTTGACTATATGCTGTGTGAAGAAGAACTTTCTTTTATTAGTTTTAAACCTGCTACCCATTAATTTCATTTGGTGTCCTCTAGTTCTTCTATTATGGGAACTAATAAATAACTTTTCTTTATCAGCCCTCTCCACACCACTCATGATTTTATAGACCTCTATCATATCCCCCCTCAGTCTCCTCGGGTATGTCTACACTACCCTCCTAGTTCGAACTAGGAGGGTAATGTACGCATACCGCACTTGCAAATGAAGCCCGGGATTTGAATTTCCCGGGCTTCATTAGGATAAGCGGGGCGCCGCCAT